TCTATCACTAGCTATAATTAAATAATACTTATTTATAATTATATTATAATAATTAAGAAGTTATTTTTAGTTCTGATATTCTTTCTTTATTCTTTATAATTAAATCAAAAAATATGTTAGTATTCATAAATACAGAAATATCTTTCTTATAACTTTTAGTGATAAATATATTTTTAGATTTATTATATTCACTATATTGAGAGCAAGCAGAAAGATTTAATTATTTTTCTCAAATATAATTATTACAGGCAGTTATCTTTTCTTTATTCATCTTGAAATAGATTCTAGTATAATATCTATCTATATATTTCTCATATTATTTGTATCTTTCAATTTGAAAATTAGAATAAATAAGTTATGAAGTGAATTGATATGAATTAAAACTTCTTTTTATTTTAATATTGATAAAGTGTTCTTGTTTAACTCTATCAGTCCAGTCTTTATTTGTTTTGAATTTAGTATAGGATAATTTATAAACTTTGATAGTTATCCAATTAGCAAGATTATTATAATATTGGTAAAATTAATAATCAGATATAAAAAGATTTCTTTGATATTAATATTAACTATTAGATTTTTGCTAGTCAAATAACTATCAATTATTTTAATTATATTTTGTGAAAACTTTTTATTAAATTATTTATAATCTTCTCAAGTATATTTCTTCTATCTAATTTTAATTTCTTTTTGATATATAGTACTTGTGCTTCATATATTCTTTTAACACTTCAGATAATTTAAAAAGGTATATTTCTAAAATTAATATCTTTTAAATTTTATTTAGAAGTTTTAATTGGAATCTAAACTTCTTTAGTAATGATTTTAATACTATTATTATCTTGAATTTCTTGTTTTCTAAAGATTATTATATTTTAATTATCATATTATCACATGAGAAAGATTTTCTTTTTCAAATATTATTTTTCAAATTTATTTTTAGAATCTTCTTTTGATTCATCTTCTTTAGAACTTGTTTTATCAAATATAGAATCATCTCTATTATCATAAATAAATTTGATTGGTACTTTTTCTTTCTAATTATTATATTCAAAAGTTAAAAGTTTTTTTTGATATCAATATTAACTTTGATCTTATTTAAAAAGTCTATTTTTATAATTTCTAAATATATTTTGGCTTTAGTATTATCTATTTCAGTTAAAATTATAATTCTATTAATATTTAAAAATAAGTTATTAATAATTCCAAGTGATTATTTCAATATTCTATTTATATTAGATATAAATATATATTTGAATTATATTGAATCTTCAATTCTATATTTTTAATAAAGTTATATATAATAATATATTTAAAGATACTAATATTAATAATTATTAATAATATTCTTTCTAACTTTGGCTTTATAACAAACAGATATGATTTTGAGTTTTTGTTCAAGTATTACTCTTCTTTTTCTTTTAGATTTGAGTATTGTAACTTGATATATTTCTTTAATAACTAAGTTCTTTATGAAGATAAGATTTAAATAAGTTGAACAACTATTATATTTGCTTTTTGTTAAGTTAAATCTTCTAGAACATTATAGAATTCAGCTATAATAGTGAATATAGATAAAGTAATTTTGATTTTCTTCTTGTAAATAGTCTTCTTATTAAGTTTTTTCTTAAGTATTTTAAATAATCTATATTATTTATATTCTGATCAAGAATAATTTTAGAAATATCTTCTTGTTTATCTTCTTTATTAGCATCTGATTCCTTATTATCTTTAATAGCTTTTTTATGAGATCAATTTATAGATCTAGTTCTATAAGATATAGCTCTTGAATTTCAAGTCTTCCTACTAGTAACTAAATATTTATGTGTATAAAGTAGCAAATTTATATTATCTGATTTGGTAGTTAATATCTAAATACTATTAGTAAGAGCTTGTATTTAAGCTAATGATATATTTTAATTATTATTTACATTTTAATTATTATTAATATTTGTTTAATTTAGTGACATATTATTTTATTGCTAATTATTTTTATTTATTCTCTGATAATTATTTCTAAAGTTATTCTGATTATTCTTATATAATTATAACTAAAAACAGTTAGAATAAATATGATCTGACTCATTATAATTATAATAAGTAGAAATTATTTTTGAGTTTTAATTATTAAAATAATACTAGAGTTATTTCTATTATAGTTCAGTCTTTTATTGATTTCAATACTTTTTATTTACTAGTTGAGATCTTAAAGTACTATTAAAATAGTATTTAATATTAAATTATTCTGAATCTGAGATTGATAATATTTACAAGTTAGAATATTTATATCAGCTTTCTTTATATTCTTTACTACTTGAATCATATTTAAGAAAGCTCTATCAGCTAAAATCTGTATTTATTGCCTAATTTCTAATTTAAGTTCTCTTTTGTAAGTTTAGATTTTATATTCTTCTGGATATTTATTATTATAATCTATTTTATAAAGTAGATTAATAAAGTTATCTGTATATTCATTTATAGTACTAGTCTGCTACAAGATTTTAATCTCATCTTATTATTAATCTATTCTCTCTCTAGTCTGAAAATAAATAGCAAATTAATAATAAAAGCTATATGACTGATTATTATTATTATCTTATATAATTAGTTAAGTATTATTATCTTTACTTTTTTCATTATATCACAAGATAGTAATATCTTCTAAATATTCTCTAATTAATTATACTTTTCTAGTAACTATAATTTCATTGACTTATATAATTATATTAAAGTCTTTTAATTATTCAATTAGATCTTAATTATTCTTTCTATATTTTCTAATTGAAATAATAATCTTCATAAGCTAATTATTTTATTTAGCTTTTGGTTAGTGAAAGCTTCAAGAGTTACAATTAAGTTATATAAATTATTTTGATTTATTTAGTTATTTTCTTCTTCTTTAGTTTCTTGATTATTTTTATTTGAGTTAATATAAGTATTATTTTCTTCTAATTTCAGATTTACTATAGCTTATATAAATAAAATTAATAATTTTTCTGAGTTTTTGATTTTGAAATAATATCTGTTAATATTACTATTACTAAAAGATATTTTTGTTTGTAATATAAAGTTATGATAGATAAACTATTAGTAAAATTATTTAATCAAGTCAAGTTATTCTTCTTAAGTATTTATATAATCAAAAATAAAAGTATTTATTAATTATATTATTTTTTATCTAAGATGAGTAGTATATATCTTACTAAGATCAAATTGAATTAATTTGTAAAATAATAAATATGTGATTTGATTTACTAATACTACTTCAATATTTTTTGTGAATAGATTAAAGAGGATAGTAATAGAGATAAAAGTGTTAAGAAGATATTCTAACAGGATAATTAGAATTTTAATATACTTTCAAATAATAATTAATAGATAATCCAATAAAAGAATAATAAATGGTTATAAAAACTCAGAATATAATTATTTATCAATTATAAATGATAGAAATAAAAGAAAATAAAAGAAATAAAAAGAGTATAAATATAATAAGAGATCTGAGATTTTTCTTTACAAAGAGATATCAAAAATATATTACAGCAAATCTAATAAGTGAGTTTTTACTTAGATTCATCTTAATAATATTAGATTAGAAGAAACTAAATTAATTAAAAGATAAAGAGTGAGAAATTAGATTATATTTTTAATATTAATAAAGATTTTTAAGATCTGTTCTAATATCAACAGATGTTATCTTTAAAAAAGATGATTAAATAATAAAAATAAAATTATAAATTAATAAAATTATAAAGATTAGTTAGTAAAGTTACTATTAATTAATATAACTCAAGACTTAAATGATTTAATAGTAAAACTATTATTAATTAAAGAAAATTATAACTAAAAAAATAAAACTAAAATAAATAAAAATTATATAATTAAAAAAATATGACTTATTTATAATAGAGACCTTCTACTCTTAAAATAATAAAACAAATAAAATAAAAGAGTATGGATTATTTATAATAGAGATTTTCTACTCTCAAAATAATATCAAAAATCAAAAATCAATATAATATTATAATTCAAATTAAAATTAATTTTGTATAATCAAAAAAATAAAACTGAATAAGAGAAAAGATATTAATATTATAATTATTAATATAGATTTTAATATAAATTATAAAACTTTTTGAAAAAATTAAGAACTACTTATTTAATAATTTTTAGAAATACTTATTATTTTAATCTTTGAATTGGTTATAAATAATAATAAAAAATAAGAATTTTATATTTCTCTTTAGAATTTAATTAATTAATTTGAATTTGTTATCAAATTATTTTTAGAATTATTTAATTTAATTACAGAATTAAATTTTAATTGAATAAATAAATTTATTATTTCAATTTAAAGTAATAATAAAAAAATAATAATTAAATAATATAATTAATTTATATAAATTTTATTTAGAAAATTATAAAAATTAACTATATTTAAGTTATAATATATATTTTGATTTCTAATACTTTATTTTATATATTTTATTATTTATAATTAGTTCAAGATATTTTATATTAATCATACTAATTTTTAATATAACTTTATATTGATTTTTTCTTATTTCTTCTCTATTATTCTAATAAAAATAACTTATGACAAGATTTTTTTTATAAATTATCAAGTTAATCCTTTTTTTAACTCTTTTTTTATAATTAATTACAAATTCTTAATTAAATTAAGATCTATAAGTATAATAGTTAATTAAGTATACAGAGAAACTTGATAAGTTGGCTATGCATGGCTGGGCATGGTGGACTAACTTATCGAGAGAACTGACTTATTGAGAGAACTGACTTATCAAGAACTACATAATCAATATATCAAATTTTATTTATCATTATAATAATAATATATCATAATATAGGATAAACATAAATTATTCCAAATAAATATCCATGCTAGTTTGCATTGAAGAAGTTATTCTCTTTTTATCAATTTTTCATTTTAAGTCTCTTAATCCTAAAATAAATGAACTATCTACTTTTATATCACTATTCTGTCACAAGTAATCATGTAAATTTTGAATACTTTCTAAGACAACTTTGTTAGATATCATCAACATCTCATTCTCATCTTCATCTTCTCCTTTATTCTCAGATGCCTCTTGAATGGCTGCAATAATTTCATCATTATTGAATATATCACTTGTTATCAAAATATTATTAATATCAATATAATCTTCTGCTCTTATGATGATATTATCAATAATCATTTAATTAATAAGTGATTAAATAATTTCATCTTCTATTTCAATTTCATTATCCAGTGGCTTATCAATGATATCTTCCAACTCATCAGATAGAATACCAGTTCATTCTCAGCATCTATATATTACATCTTCAGTCATATTTTTCCATGATTCTGCAACCCAATCAATTATATTTAAGATATTTAAAGTAGGAATCTTGATTCCATATTCCTGAAATTGATCAAATGCATCTATTCTATTTCTGCACAAATACTTTCTGTAATTAGACTTAAAAGAATGAATAATTCTCTGATCTATTGGTTGAAGGTGAGCAGTAGTGTTAGGTGAGAGAAAATACAATCTGATATTACTTAATACTTCACCATCTCCTAATATATAAGAAGAAACATTATTCACTAATAGCAAAATATTTCTTTATTATTTTTGCATTAATTCGTTAATATATTTAATCCATGATTGAAATATCAAACATTACATCCAAGATGCATTATTCCAATAATACCACACTGATAATATGCTTTTATTAATGTTATGAATACACTTTGGATTTTTGTATCAATGAATGAAAACAGCTGGCAATTTATGAGTGCTGGTTATATTATATGCAAGCATTATCATAACTCTGTCTTTAGGCTTTTTTATACCAGTTAGAGAACCACTGGAAAGAGATTTATTAGGTTCTAATTTTCAGTAAAGGCCAGTTTCATCTGCATTATAAATGTCATTTAAATCATATTGTGCAATTAGTGACTTTAGCTCTGTTCTAAATGCTAGTAATTTGTCAAGAGATATACTTGCCACCTCGCCTGACTTATAGTGTTTCTTTATTTGTTTTCACTTCTTAAAATTCGATAACCACCCCTATTAAATAAATGATAATCAAATAATATTATTATTATGCAATCGTAGTTTATTTCTTATTTAGTAATAATTTAATACTTTTTGATGATGCTGAAAATCCATCAAGATTAAGTCTTCTGGCGTAATCTTTTGCCTTTTGGCAAAGAATAGTACCTATTATTATATAATTTGATTGATTAGCATGATCTATCCAGATTGCTAACATATTTTCCAATTATGGTCATTCACTTCCACGATCTCTTTTAACTGGAGTTGTATTTAAGCCAACCATAAGCTATTTTGCCTTCTCTTTAAAAATATCTCTAACTGTCAATTTACTAATTCCAAATTCTTTACCAATTTCTTCATTTGTTTTGGTTGGATTAGTGATCTTGAATTCACATAGCTCTTTCTTTTTAATATTAGTTAGTATATTTAATTTTCTTCCTACTTTACTTCCACCTTTACTAGATAATTATTCAGTATTCATAATTATCACAGTTATAAATTTATTTTTATTTGTTACTTACAATTCAGAATTTACGTAAGTTAATATTTTTATATGTAATATGAGCACATCAAGATATTGAATAAGTCAAGACTTATTTGCAGTACAAAAAAATAACAATAATATACTCAATATAATTAGCGAGTAATTAGTGATATAAATGATCTATTGACTAAAATAGTAATGATACTTCCAAATATTACGTGAGACCAACTTATTAAGAGTAATTTATATATAGCATGGAAGGAAGTTGACTGACTTACAGCTTATCATGATTTTACATATGTTAACTGACTTATCGAGATTTTTTAAATACTGAAAAAAAGAGCTGAAAACATTTGGCCAACTTAGGCCAAAATTAACTTATTGAGAGATCAACTTATTGAGTTTCCCTGTGTATATAAAAATATTAATTATTTAATAAAGTAATTATAAACTTAATATAATACTTAGAATTATTATTTTATTAAAATATCTACTTATTATCAAGAACTTAATTTATTTATTTAAATAATTTTTTATTAGTATTTCATAATATAATTTATTATTTATAATTTTTATAAAAGTTTTAATTAATAATTCTTTTTATATAGAATACTTTTTTATATTATTATGACAAATTGGTAAGTGAGTTTTTACTTGAATTCATCTTAACAATATAGGATTGGGAGAGACTAAAATAATTAAAGATAATGAGAGGGAATTAGACTATAACTTTCAATAATAACAAAGATTTCTAAGGCCTGTGCCAATATCTATGGATATTATCTCAATAAAGGGTAAATAAATAAAGAAAGAATAAA